AGTAAGCAGAAAATCTCAAAAGATATGGATGACCTGACTAACATCAATTAATAAGACATAAATCTCATCTATAAAATTTAAAGAGCAGCTGAATACACATTTGTCAAGTTCACATGGATAATTTACTAAAATGCATCACAAATAGGTGAGAAAACACAGCTAATAACATTTAACATAATATGAAATCTGTTCTAAGACAACAAAAGCATTGGCATATTAAGTCCATATAGTTCTAAAATCTTGAATCTTTTATAAATTAAAAAATAAATTACCAAATAATGCATGAGCCAAAATAGTCATAAGAACCATTTTGTTATATAAATTTAACTAAAAGTGAAAATATATAACAAAATATATAAGTTGCAGGAAAAGTAACACAGATGCATTTTTAGAAAAGAAGAACTATATAAAAGTAACTATAATTCTCTACCTTGGTAAGTCAAAGAACACTAATTTAAGACCAAAGATGGCAGAACAATAAAAAACAAATAGAAATCAGTAGGTAAAATCTGAGATGTGGTTCAAAGTGATACAGGAAATGGCATAAATGTTCAAGATCCTGGATTTGATTCCAGACCCATATGGATGCCCCAAAGCAATGTCTTCAGTGGCCCTAAAGCACTGTGGATTCTGATCTCCAATACCACCAGTTATGACTCCACAACAATAAATAAAATTAATAATAAGTAAAGTAAGTAAAGGCCCTCCCGTTGATCATCGATTTGCTCGAGCAGGCCCAGTAACGTCTCCATTGGAGACTTTGTTGTTACTGTGTCTGGCATATCGAATACGTCACGGGGAGCTTGCCAGGCTCTGCTGTGCGGACGAGATACTCTCAGTACCTTGCCGGGCTCTCCGAGAGGGGCGGAGGAATCGAACTCGGGTCGACCATGTTGGCTGCGTGCAAGGCAAACGCCCTACCACTGTGCTATCACTCCAGAAAATTAATAATAACAGGCATAAAATAAATTAGAGAAGATATCAATTGAAATTATGAACTTAATCATGAAAATAGCTAAATGAAATGTTGGATCTTTGAAAAGATCAATAATGTTTATGAGCCTAGACACCTGTTAAATATTTGGTGAAAATAAATATTGTTAATATCAGAAACAAAAGGGGGTCATCGCTACTGAGTCCATGTGCATTAAATTTTAATTAAGGCGTTGATATTAATACCTATGCACATACAAATCATAGAGGGAAAATATATATGCATACATACATATTTTCAGATATATATGCATATATATATATATATATATATATATATACCAAAGCTCACATCATTCAAACTTTAACAACATGTTAGTGATATCCTATAGAATGTCTTAATGGCTCCTGCAAAAATAGAAAAATTTTCACACTGTTTCCTATATGAACACTTTTTTGTAAGCACATTCAGAAGTTCTTCGTAACAGACAATACAAAATATATTATTTTGGTTGTGTTTTGGGACAGGGATTGGGGTTTGGGATGGAAACATCCCAAATTTGGTGGTGGGAGGGTGTAATGGTGGTGGGATTCATGTTTGAATATTGAATGTAATCAAACATTGTGAACTAACTTATAAAATTTTAAATATTAAATAAAAAAGGTAATGTGGAGTTCATACCCAATTCAATCAGCTTAATCAATGGCTGAATAAAAAGCAGTGCTCATACATTATAAAAAATACCTATGCACAAAAATTATATCATAGAAATGGAATAATATCTTAAAATTACAAATTTCCAAAACTCCATATAAGGTAAATTATAAAATATTTGTATAACTAATAGTTATATTAAATCAATAATTAACCACCTTTATAAATAAAACACTCATGGTAGAATTGTAATTTCCCTTACACATTAAAGAAATGTCAGTTCCCTGCAACATTTTCCGTAATGTGAAAATTGTATTTACTCTAATAGCAGATTCAGACAAAGTTACTACAGAAAATATACCTACAGATCATGGATAAAGATGTATAAAATGATATCACTCATCTATAGTATAATTGAAAAAACTATCATGGGAATGGACTTTGTTAATCAATATTAAACCTTCGATACTAGAATACAGACCTGGGAGTGCCACTTTTGGGGGAAGGGTGAGGAGAATAGATTGACTGGATGTAACACGAGAACATAAGTGGAGGGTCTCAAGCACTTGGCTTGTGCTAGTGGAGGTAACAGTATGCATAAAAACCAAGTTGTCAATCAACATACACTGGAGGAAGGGTTGGAGAGAAGGGTTGTCAGAACAGTGGTTACATAGGTACCATGGGAGAGGCAGGGGAGGGGTAGCTTGGCCACTTTGGTAATGGGGATGTGCAGTAATTTCATACATCAATATCAGAAACCTGAACACTAGTGAAGATGTTATATAAGCTGCAATTTAAAAAGGAATTTACTGCCTAAGTGTCCAAAAAATAATTTATATTATATAAAATAATATGAACTATGATGGGGATAAAGTATTTTTAATATTTAAGATCATCTTTCAAAAACACATGTAACTCACAATATCCAATGACTTGAAAAAAAATCATGTCATCCTATAAAAAACATCAGTTTACATGAAATTACAGTAAATTGGGTTGTTGTGTTGCACCATCTTTCAGCTGGTGAAATCTTAATGATATACTTTTTTTTCTAATTGTCAGTGTCATTGTCTGATTTCTTATTATACATATAATATATAGATTAGTCTTAAATTCAATGGCACAATCATATTCTGTCACTGTCACTGTCCTCCCGTTGTTCATCGATTTGTTTGGGTGGGCCCAGCAATGTCTCCATCGTGAGACTTGTTGTTACAGTGTTTGGCATATCGAATACGTCATGGGTAACTTGCCAGGCTTTGCCGTGCGGGCGAGATACTCTCGGTAGCTTGCTGGGCTCTCTGAGAGGGGCAGAGGAATCGAACCTGGCTAGGCCAGGCTGGCTTCTCACAAAGCAAACGTTCTACCGCTGTGCTATTGCTTCAGTGCCAAACTGACTAAATCAAAAGAAATTTAAAGAGATATTTCATAACAATGAATTAGCCACTTCACTTGTTACAATGCAAACTCATAGCAGATATCGCTATAAAACAATGCCAGCCATTTGAGAAAGATATTGTGGGTATGAAAATTTGCTTGGAAAATAAAAATTCCAATAACAGCCAATACAAATTTTATTAAAAGGAACAAACTTTGAAAACTGATAATATCTTACTTCTGACTTCTAAAACTTTATGGACTACTATGGAGCTACTGCAATCAATATTTCTTTTGTGTAGAGGTAATTCAGGGGGAAAATTGACCTTTTATACAAATGGAATGATAAAAACTAATGTCAATAAGCATTGACACCCATAAGCAAATTAAGAATCTAAACTCATAGATTACATTTTTGACAAAAATAAAAAATAACCAGATTCATGGTAGTTGGGGGATTGCAGTAAGTATTGATTAAATGCAGGATTTACAGAAAAAAATACTGTTCTCTATGATTCTGTATGGTAAATATATGGTACTCATTACACCCACAAAACAGTTTAGCTAACCTAATTTAACTTTCAACACAGTGTGTTCAGAAAAGAAATAATGTTCACTTTCTTTGGAACGATAGCACAGCATTCAATTTGGATGCTGTCTAGAAGTTAAAATGTGATAGTGGTTATAAGAGAGACATTTTGGTATATGTTATGAGAGTAAGAATAAATTTTTCTGTCATTGATAATAGAATCTTCAAATAACTACTGTAGTTAATTTTAACAGAATCCCTTCTAGTTGTTGTCTTGAAAGAATTTTAACCATTGCCCACCATATTTCATATTTTACAGTAACAATACACTGACAATATACCAAAGCAGACTCTGGATGTCAAATTTTAGTAACACTTCACAATCTTTGTAACTTTAACTGTTACAATCTTAGATTGGACCTCAAATGAGGTCCCTGGCAGGAGAACTTCTGTCACAATAGTATTACTTCACGGGATGACAATAAGCCCAAATAAAATTTGTGGAAACTTTCCTTATTTTTAAAAAACTTTGCATGGAACTTACCCATTTTCTTTTCTAAAGTCAATTTCATGGTAAGTTCAACCTTACTGTCAATGAAACTTGAATACTTGAATACTTAATTAAAAACACATAAACTCTTCATATCATCACTAGTCAGTTAGAAGAATCTGTAGCTTTGTAATGGAACCAGTAAAACAGGCTCTTAATCCACCCGTTACAACTATATGTCAGTAAATTAAGTAAGGGATGATATAACATTTAATATTTTAAATGTGCATCACAGTGTTCAGTAAAGAACCCTACATATGGTAGATATTTAAATACTTGCTAATTTCAGCTGGTTACTTGGAAATTAGTTAAAATGGGAAACATAATTGTAATAGCAAATTTAATCCTAAAGGAAGCTACTCCTTTGCCATATAGACTTTGAAAATATGTTACCGTATCTGCATAGTTTTTCAGAAAGGGGAGACCTAGAAATACATATTCTTATTGAGCTTCATGTAATAGAATTCTCTGCTTATTGATGCGGCTTTCCAATTACTTTGAAACCTGAAAAGGCATATTGTGATAACTACATGACTAAATTTATCCCCAGTTATGAATAAAGACGTTAATTTCCTCATTCATACACCAATTTTTTCTTAGTATTGCAAGAATAATTCATTTACATTTCAAAAGGATCTGAACACAAAGCTTGAGTTATATATAATAGTTTTAACTTTCAAACCGAAAAAGTTTCATGAAACCAATTCATTGCTTCATTAATTTTTATGCTGCATGTCTTAGAAACCTGGAGATGCCAAAAATCTATGAGAGTAGCAGAGAAGACAAGTGTGGACTCATAGATTTTAATGGAATATACATATATATGTGTGTGTATGTGTGTGTATGTATATATTATTATTTTATGTTTAAAATATGGTCTTTCCAAGACAAAATTCTGTTTTAAAAGTTCTATTTTCATTAACAAATTGCATGAATGAAAATAAAAATTTTTCTTTTTTGGGGAAGCGGACAGGCCCTCACTACCACATTCTGTAGTCGAGTTTCCCACATTTGGGGAAATCGCAGGGGTCAGCACATCTGGAGTACAATGTATACACCTCACCCTGGGAAAATCACCTTCATGATCATGCTATCTCTCCTGCCACAAAAGCATAAAAATAATTGTTTTCATTTATTCTACTTCCTGAAAGTTATGAAACAAAACCAATTTATTTGTAGAGAAATAGTCAGGAAAACATATCAGAAGCTTTTAAATACTTCACTATTATCAAGCAATTTTTTACTAAAAGTTTTATAAGAATTTGACACATAATTTTTATATACTACTTAAGCCATCTTAAATCTTAATAATAAAACTATTCCAAAAACTAGATAAAAATACTCCTAAATGAAATTTAGAACAAAAAGAAAAAGTACATTTTGAAGACTGATTAAAATGTACTCTTATTTTTTCTAATCAAATCTAAGATAACTGACTCCATAAAGAAATGTTTTTTTACTTTCTTATTCTTGAATTCTCTGATTAAAGACTCAATTCAGGGCATCGATCATGATTTTAATATTTTTGACATTATTCATTTTTATCCTGTGTATGAATTTGGATGACATTACAAAATAAAGATCTCTAATGAAGTTTAAGTGATAACAGAAATAAGTGTTTTTTCTAAGTTTATTAGTGTTTTATGGTTTTGATATCTACACAGAGAAACAATTTTGGCTGCAATCAAACTGGAACAATTAACCTACTGCCTTGCTTAATGTGTTAGAAGCACTAAAATCCATGTTCTTAACTGTAGTGATGTTATATATCTAGAATTACCCTAAATAGCTGCAGCTTTGTATGCCTTGAACTACATTATTTTCTCCTCTGCAACTTTTCATTTTCCCCATTTCCCACCTCCCTACCACAGCTCTCACTATTTTACTTTATAATCTATGTATTTGACTTTTTTTTTTTTGGCTTTTTGGGTCACACCTGGCAATGCGCTCCGGTTACTCCTGGCTCTGCACTCGGAAATCACTCTTGGCTCTGCACTCAGGGGACCATATGGGAAGGCAAGGCAAGGCAAAAGCCCTACCTGATGTGCTATCACTCCAGTCCCTTTATTTGACTTTTAGGTGCTATATTTAACTGATGCATGTTTTTCTTCTGTTTCTTATTTATTTCACTTAACAATGTCCTTCATTAGCTTGTATAGTATACTTATGAATACACACCATTTGTTTTTTTTCTAACTTATCAAAAAAGATGCAAATTTCTATCAACTTGAATCTGATCACATGTATCCCTTGCTGTACTGAGTCTGAGAAGGAATGGGAGATAACAGAAAAGACTGTCACTGTCACTGTCCTCCCATTGTTCATCAGTTTGCTCGAGTGGGCCCAGTAATGTTGTGAGACTTGTTACTGTGTTTGGCATATCGAATGCGGCATGGGTAGCTTTCCAGGTTTTGTCATGTGGGCGAGATACTCTCGGTAGCTTTCCAGGCTCTCCGAGAGGGGCTGAGGGATTGAACTTGGGTCGCCCGGGGCAGCTGAGCGCAAGGCAAATGCCCTACCTGCTGTGCTATCGCTCCAGCCCAACAGAAAAGACAAACATAGGTAAATAAGTTATTTACTTCACTTAGAGGTAAAGAATGAATTAAATGCATTTACTTTTGAGTTACCAACTAGGGCTTTAAAAGACAACTTTCAGGAGCTAGAAAGTAGTATAGTGGGGTGGTCACTTGTCTTGCATTCAGTCTACCTGGGCTTGATAAGGAGTGTCAAATATAGTCCCTCACACCCCAGGAATGATTCTGAACACATACCCAGGAATAACCCTTGAGCATGTTGAATATGCCCCCAAAACAAACAAATAAAGATGAGAGTCAGTAATCCTAAGTATTCTTTACATGAGCAAATAACTGTTATACAAACAAAAATCTTCATATTCTATAATTCTTTTATATTTCACTTTTGACAAAAATAATCTGTGATAATCAGCATGAACTTTTAAAAAAAAACATTGATCACTTATGTGTTACCACTTACAGCAAATACAAAAGGATACCTCAGACCTGAAAGAGAGACTCTTTTTCCTTCCCTCTCAAGGATTTGAGAATACTCTTCACGCCTCCCAGATTGAAAATAAAATTTAGACCACTGGGGAAAGACATGAACCTCTTGTATCTTTCTAAGCCAAAGTTCCTTCTGTTTATAATCACACAAATTCCTTGTAACCTTCAAACTCTACCTCCTCTAACTCAAAGCTTCAAAGAGGATCCTATCACAATCACAAGTGCATCATTATCAAATATTGCTCTTTATCAAACCTGTCACTGACCCCCAGTGGCCACGTCCCCTGGCGTGTTTGGGACCAAAAGTCATTCCCCCGGCTCATGGATGGAAGAATGGATCAACGGGCTGATGGCTAGTGACAACTTTATTGAGATGAACAGTTAATATATGGAAAGCGAAATTGTGCTGCGTGAAGGCTGAGGGGCAGGGATAGAACGGGAGACAATGCAATAAATTATGAAGCGATGGGGAAGTATGGCACAGAGGAGAAGTTAAACATAAGCACAGGGGGGAATTGGGAGTACCTCTGGGGGATTGGGAGTACCCCTGGGGAATTGGGTGGTAACAATGGCTGCAAGGTTACAGGCAATTCAATGAACATAAACTCACTGTGAAGTGGGAGGTGTGGGGTAAAGAGGTTGCATTGCCCAACATCAAGCCTGAGATGTTTGTGATTATGAACTGACAAATAGTTCACCAAATTCTGTTAACTGAACTACATCAATAGCAATTACAAATTATGGGGAGACAGCGCTCCTTACTCTGCTGTCCTTCCCCATCTCTGGAGGGGTATCTCTGAAGCCCTCTTTCCTCAAGGAGAATCCCAGGAGGATTACTCAGCAGGTGGCACTGACCAGACACTTGGGAACAGTGCCAGCGGGGATGCCAACCAAACCTATTTAGAGTTCCAAACTATTATTGAGTTAGACAAGAAAGTTGAAGTAAACATAATCAATGCTTTGAATTTCTCAGCTCAAAGAGAGGATTTAGTAGAAGTTTAAGAAAGTGGTTTCCACCGTATGGACAATTCTCAAAAAATTATAACTTGTGCTCTCATTTGACCCAGTAATACCACTCCTGGGAATATATTCCAGAGAGACAAAAAAGTATAGTAGAAATGACATTTGCACTTGTATTTCCATTGCTGCACTGTTTACAATAGCCACAATCTGGGGAAAAAATACAGTGCCCAAGAACAGATGACTGGTTAAAGAAACTTTGGTACTTCTACACAATGGAATCCTATGCAGCTGTTAGAAAAGATGAAGTCATTAAATTTGCATATAAGTGGATCAATATGGAAAGTATCATGTTAAGTGAAATTAGTTAGAGGGACATGCATAGAAAGACTGCACTCATCTCCTGGAATATAAAGTAACAGAATGGGAGACTAACATCCAAGAGTAGTAGAGATAAGGTCCAAGAGGTCTGCTCCAGAGCTTGGAAATTGGCCTCACATGCTGGGGGAAAAGGCAGCTCAGATAGAGAAGGGAACACCAAGTAAATGATGTTGGGAGGACTCATTCAGGTTGAAAGATGCATGCTGAAAGTAGACTATAGACGGAACATGATGGCCGCTCAATACTTCTGTTGCAAACCACAAAACCCAAAAGGAGAGAGAATAAAAGGGAATGCCATGCCGCTGAAGCGGGGTGGGGTGGTGGGAGGGATGCTGGGAACATTGGTGGAGAATAATGAGCACTGGTGGAAGGATGGGTAAAAGATCATTGTATGACTCTAAGGCAAACATGAAAGTTCGTAAGTTTGTAACTGTAACCCAACTGTGATTCACAAGAGAAAGAAAGAGAGAGAGAAAGAAAGAAAGAGGGAGAGAAATAAAGAGGGAGAGAAAGAAAGAGAAAGTGGTTTCCAGAAATGGGAGAGCATATGCCTATAAGCAAAGCTCCATTTAAGTAAAAACAGAAATCAACTATATATCACAAGGAAAAAAACTCATCACTTGAAGATTTGTCTTTGAGTAAATCAATACATATGGAGGTGTGTGGAATGATGGGTAAAAGATCATCATTGTATGACTGTAATGCAAACACGAAAGTTCGTAAGTTTGTAACTGTACCCAACAATGATTCACAAGAGAAAGACGAAAGAAAGAAAGAAAGAAAGAAAGAAAGAAAGAAAGAAAGAAAGAAAAGAAATGACAAACTTAGCATGCCTATTGATTGATCAGTGAATACATATCTACCATGTGTTAGTATCACAAGCTACTCTTACTATGGTTCACATACCCCTGTAGGAGTGGATGTGAATAGACTGTGGGAATAACTGCATAATAGAAGTGACCTTCAAGTAGGGTTGAAAATTAAGATGCTGGAAGTAACTAGGTGCTGGGTCAAAATAATAATAATAAAACCAAACATAGCAACTATATATTCTCACTGTTTTATGTTAATGGCAGCTAGATTGGCTAAGACCTCTCCCCAGAACCTTCAGGAAAGAGCTTAAAATTTGGGCTATAGACGAGAGGCAGGGAACAGACTTTTGGCAGGAAGAAAAGTTGACACTGACTACTGAGACAAAGGGGAAAAGTGTCATTTTTCCTCTGGGCTCTTCCTGTCCAATCCTGTTCCTCTCTGCACAAAACACAAATTGAATGCAATATAAAAGTCTGCATGGAAAAGTAAAAAATAGGACATACAAAGGCATGTTTATTAGGTTTCCATCAGCCTCTCAACAGAAACCCTATAAAATAGAAGAGAGTGGAAACACATAAGTGAGTAAAAGGTAAGGTATACCAGTCAAGAATATTATACCCTGAAAACTTATTATGGAATGTGATGGACAAATGAGTTTTTCAACCAGTGAAAACTAATAGAATTAATCACTGCTAAAATAGTGATACAAGAAATATTTAGTTTTTCTATATGAACAGAATTTAAAAAGCATGTTTCAGGTTTCACTAGTGAATTGCAGAAAACCACGTGAGATGTTGCTAAAATTCTAAAATACTAAATTATCTAGAGGCATAATCCAAAATATGTTCTAAGAGTTTAATGTTACTTTAAACCCAATGCTGAATGGGATGGTACACACACAAAAAGAAAATTTCAGATTGTCATCTCAGATTAACATCAC